GCAAAAAAATTGGATATATGTTTGAAAGTGGGACAAACTAGAAAAAAAGTAGTGCTGATATCAAAAAAGCTATCATACTCCACAGATACCATACCATGTAATGTGGTTCATCGGAACAATTTTAACTGAAAGTTCAGAAATATTTTCCGTATGTTAAAGCGCCTTTTAAAGATTTCGAAAAGTTTGCGCCGCTTTGAAATAAACAAAATAAAGTTTTTTGTTTCACAATTCCTTGTTTAAGGGGTTTAAACTCTTGAAATTTTGCAGAAAAAACTACCTCCTATCTACATTACACATTTCTCCTTTTCCAGATATGTTATTGCTGCCTACAGAATTATTAAAGTAAACATAAAAAGCAAAATCCTACGTGATTCCAAAACAGGCGGTAATCAGCAATCTTTACCTACCAACCTTTTGTGAGAGATATTCGAGTTTCACAATAACAACGGTACGAATAATTTACCATTGAACATTGATGGTAGATATATTCACAAACACACATTAGTGATACATTTTGTGTTCTTAGTGTTTTTATGGTTTTAGTAAAATGGCGGTCTTGTAAAAATATGGAGTCCACTTATCGAATTTAAGGAATATCGTGTAGATAGAAGTTTGGTTAGTGTTTTAACATCTACACGATATTGCTCACATACATCTACAATTTGACAATAATCGGTACACAGGCAACCGAAAATGGGAAATCTATTTTTTCCTTCTATTTAGGTTGTGAAATGTCGAGAAAACATGAAAGTTGCCCTTCGGGGGTTGGACTCTACTACAAAACTTCCCTAGCTTACGCTCGAGAAGTAAAAATTAATTTAAATAAACATTCATTTTTTGTGCTAAATCCTGGTTCCTTCACGATTAAAAAAAAAATATGAAAAAAATTGGTGGTTATTTTTTATATTTAATTTTGCAAATTTTATTTTTTAATGCTAAACCCTATATAAAATAAAGATATGTGTGGACTGTTAAGGTACAGGTAAAAGAATATCCTATACGTATGTATCAAGTTCAAGGAAAAACTCCGTAACAAAATTTTGATTTGACAAAAAAAAATCCTTATTCATTAATTGCTTTTTGTCATACTGCATAAGTCATAATTACAAACTACGAGCCGTTGATAAACCACAAGTAAAGATTCAGAATATTTTGCGTATTTTAGATGGGATTTATTCAGAAAACTTTTGAGATAACGCCATAAATTGCGGGGGGGGGGGGGGGGATAAATTGTCATTTTTTCTAAAAATATCATTCAATACCTCAACACGGATTCATAAACTACACATGCAGGGGTATGTTATTCTATAAAATTTATGTAATTCAGGTAAATTTGGCAAAATTGTAAGATGACGTCACCATTTTGGGGAAGGTTAAAAGGGATAAATTTTGATTAACTACTATTTACTATGCCTAACATCGCCCATTGTTACCATTACCATCTACACGATATTTCTAACATACACATAAAATTTTACAACAATCGGTCCAGCAGTATCTCAGATCATTTGTCTAATATAAATAGATAGATAAACAGATAGAAATAGAAGACTTTTTGTTTCAGATACCATGTACCACGAATCGTTGCGAAACAATGAAGGACCCATTCGCGAGATTCACTCTATTATAAATAAATATAGCTTACGCTCTAGAAGTAAAAAGAAAAACTGATATTGCTCAGTTGAAAACTGCCAACATTTCCGATATTTTATTAAAAAATGTACACATTGATATCTTTATCTGTTTTTGATATTTTAGTCTCTAAATTGTAAAAAAATGAGGTGATTCGCATAGTTTTTGCGTTATTGAGGATAAGTGTCATTAGTTCAAATAAAGTTTAAATAAATAAATAGTATTCAAAAAGTTCAACAAAATTCAATTAAATTTACAAAATTCCTGCGCCTATTAAATTTCCATTTTGTATGTTCTTATCTTAAAATAACGGATGTTGAGAAATGATTTATCTCTAGTGGGCGAAAATTAATTAATCTGTCAATGTTGAATGAAATTGTAATGTTTATTTTTTTAAATCAAGGATATCAAAAAACTGTAGTCCTGTTCACGGCCTCGAGAAGTAACTCATTTATTAACATTCTGTATATTCACTACACATTTTAAAATTTCACGTACCTTTATAGTTTTTTGTATAACATTTTTTCATGTTCTTTCACCGAATAGGCTTTACAAAACTTAGTTAATTTCAAAAAAACAAACTCAATTCAAAGATTTCGTGAAATATATCAAAAAACCAGTAGTTTTTTATTTTCAACAATGAACAAATCAAATTAACAGTTGCTTGAAATATAGTGTAACAAGATCTTTTAAAAATATTTTCTCGCCAAATATATACATATAAAATTGTCAGCGGACCATTGATCAACAAAACAGAAGGCTTTGTTACCTGTTTTGTTGGTCCTATAGTTTTTCTAGGACCACAAGCTAAATTTTTGAAAATAAGATAATCAAAAATTGGTCCACTTCTTAAAAGATTAACTCTTTAATATATTTGTAAATTTTGAAAATTTTAGAAACCGAAGAAAACATTAACTCCAAAACCATTAAGCCTAGTATACATACATGCCACTATAATCCAATTGATGACTTGCTATATTTCCAATATATGTTTACATTGAAATAAATTCTTAGCAACAGTGAAGCTAGAACCTACCAACAAGGGTGCTATTATAATTTACAATAATGCTAATCCAAAAACTTGGTCGAAGGTTTTTTTGACAGAACTTCCCTCGCCCCTGAAGTACAACTGAAGAAAAATTATAGAATTAAGTTTTTTATGATAACCTATAAAGTAAAATACAGATATGTGTGTACTGTTAAAGTACAGCTAAGGATGCTTATATTTCAAATGAATTTTCCCCAACAAAATTTTGTCATGACGTCATCAACATTTTAGTAAGCACACATATCAATTTGAATAGATGCAGTGGAATACTAATAATAACAACACTGTATAATCAACTTTTCGTGAAAATGGGGTGAGCCGTTTTTGATTTGAGTCACTCTGTATAAGTAATTCTAAAAAATATTAATGCATGGATAAGCCACAAGTATTAATTCATATATATATTTTGCATATTTTAGACAGGATTTATTAGGCAAAAGTTTGAGATGACGTCATCAACTTTTTGAGAGGAGATAAACATAAATTTTGATTAACATTTACCATGCTTACTATAAACTTAAAACGTTTGCAAGATTTCAAAGTTATCGGTTTTACAATTTCAAAATTACAAAATGTTGTTATACAATGGTGATTTTTTTTTTAATAATCTGTACGTCATGGATTCATTAACCACAAGCGCAGGAGTATCCTAACATATAAAATTTAAATCAGATTTACTATTGTAAATTTTGGAGATGACATCTTTTTTTCAACTAGATGGTGTTCTTAACACATATGTAAAATTTGACAACACTTGGTCTCGTGGTTTCGAAGTCTAGTAAAAATCGACACAGACAGACGACTGAAATTCGGAAACGGGGTGCGATCTATTTTTTCGTATTCTAGAGGTCACGAAACGTCGACAATATATAAAAGTAGCCAGTCGTCCGATGAACTCGATTACAATATTTCCGTAGCTTACGCCGAATAGGTAAAAGTGTCCTCTCCGCAAAAACGTGAAGTGTTTATGTTTATACATCGGAAGAATATCACGTAGAAATTATTTTGATTTGAATGAGTTTGCCGCCTCAAAACACAGGATTAAAATTATTAATTAAACCATAATCGAACAATATATTCTGAATATTATTATTATAATTCTTATTTAATCATTATTACATTTTCACTGTAAACGTGACTGTTCCAAGACAGCAATTTGTATAAATTTTCCACTGTCTAGCGTCGAATCCATTCATTTAAAAATTTAAATTCAACGAATAGTTTTCAAATCTGAGCTTAGCTTTCACAATTTAAAATACTCAGGAAAGGTCAAAAACACGATTCATAAAGGAAATTTAAAGAAGCATTTAAAAATTATTCCAACATATTTCGACATCGACATCCCAATGAGTATTACTGCATTATAATTAAATACGTGTAAAGTTATGCAGTCCATCATTATTTATTAGTGAACAAATAGAAATTAAGTATAGATTCAATAATTATTCTTACATTAAATAATTACCTAATAATAGATTTTATTACAAGCATCACTGCATCATTTGATGATTACTTATTTCTGTTATGAATTTTTGAAACACACACAATGCATACCACGGCACTTACATTATACAGTGTAATCGCCCAGATGAAACCGAAAGTATATTAAAAAAGGGCGTGGCTATGAGTCCGTTTTGACCACTTCCATATCTATCGATAAGTTGACAGATAAATAAAAACGCATCTTATTGGAGATACTGGGGCACGTGACCAAAATGTATTGCTCTATTGTCTTCAATTGTATAATAGCAATACGGAAATCCTGTGCGCCACTATAATTGACGCCTTAGCGATGACTTAACTCTATGTTCTTCACTAATGACAAAATAACGTTTTAGGAAAAAATCACACTTTCTCAACACCTAATCTTCAAAATACTTAGTGACACGCATTACGATTTATTGTATGTTAGGCACGAACTGTTTGTCATGGTTAATATAATACGGGAATCCGCGTTTACATAATCGTCAAAATTTCCAAATTACTACATGACTTCGCTTTCATTTTATCAATTTCCTACGATACGGATACGAGAAAATGCAGTTACGATTGCAACACAATATTGCCAAATTTCGAAGGGAGATAGTTAACAATCGGGAATTCGAGGACGAAAAATTCTTAAACCCAATTTGCACAAGTGAACGTGTTCCAAAATAAACTCAACATGTTACGTTCACATTAGTTTTTCCAATTCTCTTTTGTGTTTATATACAAACAGCTGCCAAAATCATTTTGCAGCCGCCATGCCCATGAACTTCACAAGATCAAAACCAGTGAAAGTGGAATCTCTCTTGAATAAAAACTTTCAATTACTTTTCAGAGCTCGAGTACTACGTGACGCAATGGATTACGAATACGAATTCTACGTAGACGACTTAAAGACAATTCATCGATTTAGACAGTGAAGGAGCACAAAAATAGGAAATGGCCTTCCACATTCTTCTTCCTACGGTTCTAGCTTCCATCAAGGCAGGAGTTTCCATTATAGGTGCTGGGAAAATTGCCATTTTGCCCTTTTTGCTGGCTGCCTTGGCCTATTTTCACTACGATCAATTTGATCCGGAAAATAAACCAGTCGATCGTAAGCAAGTGGATCATGAATATGACTTTATAGTGGTTGGCGGAGGGTCAGCTGGTTCTGTTATTGCCAATCGTCTGACTGAAATTCCAAACTGGAAAGTTTTGTTGTTGGAAGCTGGAGGGCATGAAACCGAAATTTCAGATGTGCCTATTTTAAGTTTATATCTGCACAAGAGCAAACTGGATTGGGGATACAAGTGAGTAAAAATTAGTACAATACATAATTAACGCAGAAATAAAATAATAATTCATCAGTTTCCAGTTTTCAAGCTTAGCAAAAATTTGCTGTTGTTAAAATTGTTCATCGGTAAAATACCTCGAATTATTTCAATTTTAAAATTTCTAAACTTAAACATCTTGTTGACAAAAATTTTCAATATTTCAATATTTAAATTTTACAACAAAAATTAAAACAAAAAACATTAGTCGCCTCTAACACTAAACTTTATTGTTTAAAATTTGGTTTTCCAACACTTGCTATAAAAATTGATGAAAAACACAGGACAAACTCACTTTGAAAGATATTGGTAAATTTTTCACACAGTCTGGTCAAAACTGACATTTGATGACAAAAAAGAATCATTAGTAGTTTCGCTTCGACTCACTGCTGAGAATTATTGTGATAACAACGTTTTCTTTAATCATCAATTGAAGTTGCCACCTAAGAGCTACCAGAACTTTTCCGTAACTAAGTAGCGTTGTGTTGTTTATACATTAATAGTTTTCACAAAATGTCATTGAAAGTAACACGTTCGAGATAATTTGAATGTTTTTGAGCTAAAAATGGAAAAATATTAAAAGTTTAGATAACTAAGTAGGTATCTGCTTTAAAAGATTTCAATGCAATGATAAATTTGTTAATTATAAGTAATAAAAAAACAGTTAAAAAAGTTAATTATCACTAAGCGTAAGCTAACGATGTATAGAAATCGAGTTCATCAACTGACTTACCAATTTCATGTTTTCTCGACATTTTATGACCCCGCGAATACGAAAGGTTATCCCCGTTTCCGTCTGTCTATCTCTGTCGATTTTTATTAGACAAATCTCTAAAATCACAGAGCCGAATGTAGTCAAATTTTGTATTATCATGTAGGAGTAGATAGTAAAACACTAACCAAAATTTGACTAAACATTCCCTGCGTCAGCAGTGGGATAACGTCATCTCTGTCATGTAGATAGTAACACCCTAACCAAAATTTGGACCCACCAGCAATCGGATGACGTACTCCCCAAAATTCACAATAGTAAATTCTTAAAAGGTGTACGTACACAAAATGGTTTAGTGAGGAGCTATTCTGACCAGATATTTAGTCAAAATAATAAATTAAAGGAACCATTATGAAAATAGACGAACTTAAACAATGCGTGAGACAAAAATCCAGTTGAAATTGACACTTTTTACGATCTTAATTATCACGCTTCACTTGTAAGAAACAAACTATGTAAACAAATCTAAAAATCGATTTGAACCTACTTCTAATTAGCGTATCGATTTGAAACTTTGCAAGGGTTTGTAATTTGGATGACAATACAATAATTTGGTACCATCGAGCTGATCTGACGATGAACCCGGAAGACACAGAATCTCCACAAAGGAACAAGCTATCATAACCGTGTTTAGGCCAGTATCGCCCGTGTTTTGAGGATGAAAATATCTACTTATTTGAGATTAAAATAATTCGTAGTAGGTAATTATGTAATGTAATATAATATTATAAATGTGAAAACTGAGTTTGTTTAATTAACAAAAAATAAGAGCGGTTTTTTTTACCGGTTTCTGTCTTTTAAATGCCTGCTTAGATTACTTATAACTTATAAAAGTTGGCTGGTAGGAACGCCATAACTGTATCCTGTATGTAAAATCGGTAGCGTAATATATTACCTTACCGAAATGTCAATTGTCAACATTTGTCGAGGAGTGGAACAACAATGAAGGTTTTATTTAAACTGTTTAATGCTTGACTGGCTGCATTTTTAACATTTTCGAGCAATACGTCGCCTAATTCCATAATTTTTCCAATTCTGTTCACAAATTTTTTTGAATAAACAATAAAATGGAATTATGACACCGAAATATATCATGCAAACGTGATCAACCAAATTTATTTATTTTTGAATTAATCTTTACATTATTGGATTAAAATGGGCAGAAACCCATAAAATCTTGAATACACCATGGATGTAAACGGTGCCATAACCGCCTTAAAATCAAACGGACGGCTGCGGCGATTATGACACTCTTTACATCCTAGGTATGTTAATAGCTACAAAATTATAATTATTTTTCTATACCCAAGCTTCACGATTAAGGGGCATAAAATGTGACCCAGTAGATTTTTGGGAATTTATGAAAACCAATTTATTTAATTCTTCATGTAAAAACTCCAGTAACAGACCAGTGTCCTTTCATGCTTATAAAGCGAATTTTGATTTTGTGAACGTATTAATAATTAGTAATAATTGAACGGTCAAGGAAAAAACCGCAACAAAACGGACGCTTTTTTTTATTTATTGCGAGAAACGGGAAACAAACAGACCGGTAACGCTTCTGTAAGTTTTGCCAGCCAAGGCGTTAAATCTTGATATTTCTGGATTTTTACTTCCCGAGCATAAGATGAAGAAGTATTAAAATAACTATAGGCCGACTCCCTACTTTTTAAATTTGTTTTTATTTTTATCAAAGAGACTCCTGCACGTGTGGTGTATGAATCCGTGTTGAGTTTTCACCCTAGACATCCAGATTTTTGAAAAAAAATCAAAATTATATACTCCTAACATTTTCCAATTTAACTTGCCACTGCAGAACGGAATGTTTTGAAATCTTGCAAATATGTTTAGGTTATATGGTTTATCCTTTCCCAAAAAATTGATGACGTCATCTCAAAATTAAATCCTCTCTGAAATGTGCAAAATATCATGACTGCATTCTTTTATCAATGTACTCGTAGTTTTTAGAGTTACTTATTTATACAGAGTGACTCAAAAAAATTCATGAATGAGGTAATTCATTGTACATTGATTAAATCAAAAACAACGCATCTATCCAAATTGGCATACGAGTTCTTGCAAAAATGTTGATGACGTCATCACATCATTTTGTAGTGGAAAAACTCACTTGAAACAAATGCGTAGCACGCTTCTTTATCTTTACTTTAATATTACATTCAATTTTTTATTTTTACGGTTAGGAATCAGAGACTGGTAAATATATTCCCCAAACGGAGAGAAGAATCTAATCGATGCATCAGAGAAAGTAATAATGGGAGCACTCACCTTTGCATACTTTGACCTCACTCAAGGTGTACAGAAAGTGATAGGGAAGAGGTGTCATTGCGACGACAAAATTCATTTTTTGTCAAAAAATTTACCAAAAGTATGCCCAACAATGAAAGGTAGAGATATATGTACCTAAATATGCCATTTGCCGTATCTTTGTTGGTACTAGTCTTAACAAATTTACTCTAGAGTGTGCGGACAAGCTATATGAATTTTTTATTTTAGAAATCCGGAAGGTCGCTAAATCAAAGCGTTTATGCATGCTTGCACACATAGGTGTGGTAATTCATTTAATTTTTTTGTTTTGTTTTTATGGTGACATATAGAACAAGTTTATGCTAAGTACTGATCCACAGAAAACGATGATACACTTATCAACACAGGATACAAAAGAATCACAGCGAAATCTATCGAATATTATGCAATGGAGATAATGTTTACAACAATTCCCAATGCTTCCACCGAAAAATACTTGCGGTTTATCAAAGCGTTCATACTTTTTAGAATTGCCTCTACAGGTTGGAAATTAATGATTTTCTAGAAAATTTAGGAATACCGTATATTTTGTTATTACTATTATATTGAACCTATCCACATTAATACACGTGTCCCTGCTAAAATGTCATCACAAAATTTTGTAATGGAAAAACTCACTTAACATTCTTTTCACCTTTATTTTAACACCGCATACAAATCTTTATTTTACTTATAGGGGTTAGCATAGTAGGTAAATAAAAAAAAAATAATCTTAAAATTAAATTTTATAATTTTTCGAAAACGCTCAAGTTCTGTCTTGATAAGCTTAAACCGATTTTTAATTTTTTTGCTGCGACATGTGTCATATTTATGGTCAAAAATACATCCAGACTTATGTTAGGAACCACTTGCAGTATTTCTCATAGAGTGCATTTGTTTTACCATTTCATACTATTAAAATCAAAACAGCACTTTCGAAAAGTTTTTCGCAAACTCTCTACATACATATATGGGTTATCTTGGTATGTTTTTACACGTCTCTGTAAACATGATTTCTATCTATCATAAATTTAAGCAGCATATATGCTTTGCGGTGCGGGTTCTTTGTCTTTATGAAAAAAAAAGTATTTTCAAGAAATATTTGCTACTGGGGAGTTGGGGACCCAATGTAAATCTTCGTGGTAGTGCATGTAGTAAACAAATTTTTAAAGTGTCACACCTTCTTGATTACTTCACTTTCTAATTCCACTCTTTGTCAATTTACCTTCCCGTTTTTGACTTTTTAACTTTGTCATGCATACATGTTAAACATGTATGCATGGTTGTTTGTTCTCAACGTTTCCTCCTCAGTCTACAATATCAATATTTTGGTGATATTCATGAAATTAACTTCAGTGACCAATTTTTATCATCTATAAACATAACGTCACAAGATATCCCTTAAAGACCTCCATAATATCCACACCTACTCCATTTTTCCTACACTTTTTTTACTTTTCTGAAAACTTGAATTCTTTAAAACGATTCATGACTATTTAAACCGTAGAACAAACTCTTCAAAAAAGTTATTTCACTGTTACTCTACACATAAAACTGTCCGGAAGTAACCGTGAGCCTTTGCTTTTCCAGAACTGAACCCCAAGACTCCGCTTGCCAAGCCATGACTGAAAAGCGTTGCTCCTGGACCCGTGGCAAAGTCCTCGGTGGCTCAAGCGTTCTCAACACCATGCTCTACATCCGAGGAAATCGCCGTGATTTCGACCAATGGGCCAAATTTGGCAACGAAGGCTGGTCATACGACGAAATCCTCCCTTACTTCCTGAAAAGCCAAGACCAACGGAACCCCTACCTTGCCAAAAACACCAAATACCACGCAACTGGTACATAATCACTTACACTATTCTTTCACCCCTACAAATTTGCTTACAGGTGGCTACCAGACCGTGCAAGACAGCCCCTACAACACTCCCGTGGGAGTGGCCTTCCTCGAAGCCGCACAGGAAATGGGTTACGAGATTCGGGACGTGAACGGCGAGAAGCAAACCGGTTTCGCTTTTTACCAGTTTACGATGAGACGAGGTTCGAGGTGTAGTACCGCGAAAGCATTTCTTCGGCCTATCAGATTAAGAAGGAATCTCCACATTTCTTTAAGATCTCACGTGACCAAGGTTTTGATTGATCCTAACTCGAGGAGGGCGTATGGGGTGGAATTTATAAAGGATGGGCGTAGACAAGTGGTGTTTGCGAGGAAAGAGGTGATTTTATCTGCTGGGGCTATCAATTCGCCGCAGCTACTCATGTTGAGTGGGGTGGGACCTGCGGAGCATCTCCGGGAGAAGAAAATTCGTGTTATCCACGATTCGCCGGGAGTAGGGCAAAATTTGCAAGACCATATCGCTGTAGGTGGATTGGTCTTCTTGATAGATCATCCAATCAGTCTCCTCATTAACCGTCTGGTTAATTTAAACACTGCCCTTCGATACACTCTCAAGGAAGATGGTCCTTTAACTTCTAGTATAGGTTTGGAAGTTGTGGGTTTCATTAAAACTAAATACACCAATCAGAGCGACGATTGGCCGGACATGGAGTTTATGGCGACAAGTACCTCAGCCTCTGCGGATGGTGGTACTCAAGTCAAACGTGCCCATGGTGTGTCTGATGAGTTCTACAACGAAGTATACAAAGATATCAACTACAAAGATACGTTTGGCATCTTCCCCATGATGCTAAGACCCAAAAGTCGTGGTGAAATTAAACTAAGATCGAATAATCCTCTCGAGTACCCTCTTTTGTACCATAACTATCTCACAGATCCTCACGATGTGTGGGTTTTGAGGGAGGGAGTAAAAGCTGCTATTGCATATGGGGAAACACAAGCCATGAAAAGATTCGGAGCAAGATTCCACGCCAAACCTCTTCCAAATTGTAAGCATCTGCCGCCACTTACAGATGAGTACTGGGACTGCGTAGTACGACAGTACACGTTATCAATTTATCACTATTCCTGTACGGCCAAAATGGGCCCTGCTTCTGATCCTTACGCTGTGACAGATCCACAACTACGAGTGTATGGAGTGTCGGGATTAAGAGTGATAGACGCATCCATTATGCCGACTATCACAAATGGAAATCTCAACGCTCCTGTTATCATGATAGGAGAAAAGGGCGCCGACTTGATAAAATACTACTGGCTGACGCCTACCACAAGAAAGAAAAGAAGTCTACGAGCAATATTTAATATGAGATTAGGAGAGACGTGTCCGAATATCACTTCTGCGTAGTCATTAACCTATAAGTGTTAACTGACAATTGATACTGACTGGAAGTTCACTGTAAATAATGATTAAGTATTTATTAAGTTGTTGGTTGTTATTAAAGCTTGTCGTTCCTTTCACGAGTTCGTGTAGCTGATAGTCACTAGATAGGAACAAATTCAATTGCTCAGTAAATGTATATAATTGTGTAAATAGACATTTTATAATCTGTTTTAATAAAATATGCGTTAAACGAGATATTCATTATTTTAGTTGAGTTCGTTTTTTGGTTGCTGTTAGTGAGGTGAAACTTCGACACAATGGTTTGAAATGTCGAATATTTAATTAATTATAATTGAAATTGTTAGTTTCAACACTTATAATGACAGCAATTGTACTGTAGTTTTCATTCTGGTAAAACTGTGTCAGCTTAAAATCTATTATTTATTTGACAAGCACTTTCTATCAATCATACATTGTACTCTTCGTTTTATAATTAAATCCTATTATTACAATCAAGTGTGTGTTTAAAAGGATGTAAAGCTTAACGAAATTCTTAATCACTGGATGATGTTTTACTTTTAGTTTTTTAAAGCAGGGAACTACTTAGTACCTGAAATTAGCCCGCTTGATTTATTTATACTTGACCAACACAGTTATCTAAATTTGTAATCGCATTTTTGATTACGTACATGTTTCACAACAACACAAAATGAGAAAACACTGAAGAGCAAGATCTGAACTCAATGAACTCATCACCATAAAGTCAGACAATAAAAGCATGTAAACATTTTACCCGTTGTGGTATATGCTAATATTTAATTTAATCTAAACTTTTAAATTGTTAGTGACTTTCACAGGATGTTTTCAGGTATTACATAAAGAAAATTAAATTTACAATTCGGTGCTAACTACACTTAATAAATACAAATAGGTATTCCGTTTTAAATTAATTAATTAACTAATTAATTAATTTTTAACCTCTGACGTAAAAAAGGGGGTGCTATAATAATTTTAAAGTCTCTGTCTATCTGTGTATCTGTCTGTCTTTTTTTTGAAAGCTGATTTAATAGAGATGATTCTTAGCTATGTATGCTTGATAATAATCAAACCATTTTTTTTTACTTACCGAGCGTAAACGAAGGAAGTATTGTAATCGAGTCCGTCGGCCGATTCTCTACTTTTACGTTTTCTCGACCTTTCATGACTCCTAAAGTACGAAGAAATAGGTGTCCCGTTTCCGTCTGTCTGTCTGTCTGTCTGTCTGCCGTCACGGATTTTTATTAGACAGATAATCTCCGAAAGTACTGGGCCGATTGTTGTCAATTTTTTTTTATTAAAATTTTTGCTATTGTGTCAGTTGATGAAACAGCTGAGTACATGGTTTGTACTTGCGATGGCAAAAGACTGCAATATTTGGGAGGGGCAATGGTAACGCACTTTCAAGTAGTTAACGCAGCTCCTAAGAGCTTAGCTAACATTACAAGGGAGCCAAGTTTCATAGGTTAATATTACAAGATGTGTCTTTCACAAAAATCAAATTTGGTCGAAGTTTAGAAAGAACGTGAGTAGCCCACTATAGACCCCCTGAAATCTAATCTAATCTAAATGGAAGGTAAGATTAATCGGAAAAAATAGACAAGGACGGTCACGGGTTACCTGGGTTAGCACAGCAGATATAATTCCAAGAGAGAGAGGTCAAATATGAAACTCAAACAAAAACTGACAGGATAGAATCTTATCTCAGTCCTTCCCACTTTCTTGAGTTTTTTGAAATTTTGTTACCATTATAGTGATAGTATACTTGTCATTAAGCTGCAAATTTTTTTGACAGTTTCAACATTGGTACCAAGCATACGTTAAATAAATTATTATTTTCATACTATCCTTGTCTAGCACAGAGGTTCAGCTCACCTCTTTTTAATTCCGGGCACAGCTAATTTGCCACACCTCTTAAAAGTAATACAGAAACTTGCAGATAAATGAAAAATGTCATTTTACGGTGTTGCTACCTAGCCAGATCATGTGAGTAATAACCGTGATCAGATTTTCCATTTTTTATCAATCAAATAAGAGGTGAAGCAGAAAAAATAGTATATTACACGCATTTAATAAGACATATTGCAGCACTCGTTCTCTCGACTCGTGCTACAATGGAACGTCTTATTAAATTTGTATAATAATATATTATTTAATAATGCTCGCAATTATATAATTACGTAAACTGACTACTCTTGAATAAAAACATCATTCAAGATTTTTTGCTGTAGATACAATTTTTTCAGTTCAGTTCATAATTCTAAAAAGGGCAAGTGTCTGTGCCGTATGGTTGCCGTTCACAAAAGACCTCCACCCGATTTTCCACTGAAGCGAAAATTCTGTAAATAGTCAACTCCTAATATATGAGATTGTATAGCACCGAAAACAACCACATCATTTTTTTTTTCTTCCAGACAAAATGGACGTTTGGGTGGATCTCAGTTAGAAGAGATTTATGACCATAAGTTTTTTCTTTTTAATGGTAAGCTGATGGTAACTGAATATAAGGCAGAAATTCTGCTGCAATTTTTAGTTAACCGCTTCAGGCCGAGTTGCACTTTGGATATTGCTAGCAAGACGGGGCAACAAACGATATTTGTATACCTCTATTATTATTCTCTGGCCAGACCTAAAAGAATAATTTTTAAACGCCCACTGATAATTTGAATGAATGAACATATCCAAAAGATCATCCAAAAGTGTGAACAAATAAACAATTCTTATGTGTGGGTCATGGACTTTCAAGAAAAACTCAAAAGTAATTTCGGAGGCTTCCACGGTCGAAATTAATACATGATCGTTTTCCGGGTTGGAACCGTGTAAATTGAGTTTTTGGACTCAACGTTTCGCACACTTTCGTAAGTGGCATCTTCTGGAGCAGGGTTAATAATAAGGCAAAAGAGCCTATATTACGGCCTATTCATACACGTGTATAAAACTCAAAAGCACCTAAAAGAAGATATACATTCGTCAATTTTTGCTTAATAATTGAAAGTAATAAATGTTTTGATTAAAAAAATATACCTATACAAATTATTCCATTTCAAATGAGATTACGTAGGTACCCTGATCAAAGCAAATTAATCGCGGTCGCTAGTCGCTCTATTGAAAATTTTGTAAATCTCGCTGAATTGTCTTTTTCACAGCCATTTTTTAAAGATTTTTTATAAATTATGTATTATATTATTCATTCAAAGAATATTATTACCAGTAACGTCTTCCTTTTAATTTTAACAAGTTTGAGTTACTGAGGTTTGAAATTTTTATCAAATTCATGAAATATATTTACGTAGCCCACTTTAATCTAAAAACTTGCTAATCAGCTATTTTGTGCATCCTGCTCCAACTTTTTAAAGCGTAAATAGTGCAAATCAAACAAAAATGGATAAAGATAAAACAGACCTGAACTGAATATCTAATTAAAATCTAATAGAAACGTCAGAATAAATAACAAAAAATTGGTGATTTCAATTTGGCATTTATCTTTTTATTATTAATTTTTGATTCGCTGTTTAGAAATGTTTGTAATTAATTAATTATATAATTAATTCTAATAGAGAAAATGAAAAACTGAAGAATGAATTAAAAGATACACTTTCATAATACTAACCTAAAATAAAATAAACACCATTGAATTATATTCTTTTTATGAATGGAGCTGTCACTAGTTGAAACTTTATTAATTCACTGTTATATTAAGAAAAATACTTTCTGAGTTTAAAATATTTTACTGTGTGATACTGCAACACTACACTATCAAAATTCAGTTTCTAGCTGAAGAAGATACTGTGTACCGAAACATGTATTGCAGTGTAACACCATTGAATAGAAAGAATAGAAATACAAATGTATTGCGTAAGGTTCGTCTTATTAAATATACTGAAAGACACGTAATAACTAAGTTGAAACTATGTCGATGATACATAATTAGCACAATCATATTAAATATTTTAATAAATTACTATCAAAATGTACGCATTTTCACCTAATTAAATCAACTTTAATTTTTGAAAGTTAGCTTTTGGAAGTAGAACAAAATTTAAAAATAAATAACGGCAAATTACAGGATTCTACGCATGCTATTCTTATAACCAGTTTGATGATATTTTCTAACATTCTTTTAAACTTATAATAGCCTATATAATAATCAATCGCTCCAATCGCAGCTTAATCACTTGTCTTAGAAAGTGCTTAATAGCGGTATCAATTTTGCAAAATCGTTGATCATTTTTAGCCACAAGAACTGTCACTAATTTCACTCCAAAACCAACACTACTAACATAGAACACCTCGCACATGTTACGCAAGCGTGCAGTCAAAACCAAATGCAAATTTCGGAGAAAGTAATTCCTGCATTATAAATCATTCGCCACCTCGCTTTTCATACTCAATTTGCATTCTTACAACATTTACAAAAATAATAAATTCCATTTTTACAAGAATACACTTGCCGCATCTAAAACATACCAAACCCGAGATAATGAATTTAAATTTTATGACTTTCACTCTCGAGAAAGGAACTATCAAAGCCTTAACATTGTACAATGACCTTAAAGCTATCTGTGGTCTGTAGCAAACCACCAGAACAAACTGTAACAAATCGGAAAAAACGAAGACTGTAGCAATAACGAAAACCAAATTAAGCAGTAGCAGGAATGGGATTTTCGCGCTTATATAACTATGATGTGTGTGAGTTTTCGAAGCTTTGATTGTTTATGAAAGAATGAAAGAATAAAAAGACAAAAGTGGATTCACAGCTTTCATTTTTATCGACGGTTACGAAGAGTGTCGGTTTCCCCCGAACTTAGCGCGTGCACCAGCCGTAGACGTGCCGTAGACCTTTCAAACGCATGGACTGAATCCTGCCACGGTCTCCTGCAAACAGTTAAATTATAGTGAAATTTGTCATTGGTGAGTGAAGTGCTTTAATTGGAGTGAAGATGGAACCCAAGGAATCATTTTGGAAAGAACAGGTAAATAAACAATATTAGTACGAAAAACCGAAAAGATAAACAACCAAAAAAAAAGAAGAATTATGCGAAGAAGTGAAAGCGGATACGCACGATCTTGATATGTAAAACCCTTATTGGTTGTTGTTTGGAAAAACAGCAATTTTATTAGCACTATTATTATTGAAACCAAGTGTTTACTTCGATTGCATACACTATCCTAATTACACAATAACCAGTTAACACAGCTACAAGAAATTCCACTTACTGTCACTCTTCCCAAAGCTTTCCACTTATTCATGATTTTTCTTTTTAGTTTTCCTCGTCGGTCCACTAAGGCCTCGGGTCATGGGAAAACCTGACCCTCACTCGAAAAACAATCGTCTTCCAAGTGCCAAAACCAAAGAGAAGTTTTTAACTGATAACTACATCAGGGAGAAGAAGAAGCGTGAACACTTTTACAATACCACAGCCTATGAGAATAGATGCAAGCAAGATCCGTCTCACGATTACCTAAGGAATAATCTGCATATAAAATTTTGTGTTTGCGGTAGTCGCGAAGTTTCGACGTTTCCGAACAAGAAGGTCTCATTTCGTAACTACACGCCGAAGATTCTTAATCAAGAAATCAATATGGGTATGTGGATGTGATGCACTTTCACTGGAAATGTCTATGCTAGCGACGATTGGGCAAGTGGCTCATTTCGCTGTGGGCCTCACGGGAAATCCGTTAACTATTATAGGGCTGGTTCCGATTTTCGCTGCCGGACTAGCATTTTTGAGATATGTGGCAGTCGACCCGGAATCGCATCCTGTCAATGTTAGGCATGTGAGTATTAGGAAATGACTACACAGTTAGACTGGAAAATTCCAATCAAGCTTCGTAGAACTGGATGTTCGTTTTGATACAGGGAGAAAATAACTGCATCACCTAGACACGAGAAAAAGAGTATATAGAAATACTAACTGGGTTTGATAGGGATCTAAATTTCATCTCGGAAAAGCTTCTTTTGCATCATAATCTAAATTTCGAAAAGACCACTGATAATGACAATCGACTTTGTTATAAGCTGTCCTCTACAAAATAATATATCGGTTAAAATAAGTAATTTTTCTAATTCTGTTTGACTTTATACTGTCTAACTAAAAACTCAGTTTCATTGAAATTCGATCAAAGATCCTATCTGAATGAAAATTATACAATTTCCTGCTGTACAAATGCGATCTGATTTGACTGTTAGTTACATTAACTTGAAAGTTCTTATCAAAAAACTATTGTTGAAAATTTCACACAGTTCTTACGTTGTTTGGTACCACGTAATTGTTATTATAGCAAAACTGCAAGAATAACGTCTGCTTTCAGTGAGACGAAATGGGAAAGTGTGATAAGGTTTTATGGGATCAAAAACCTTAATCTTAGAGAAACTGACATTTCCATGTAATTTTTTGTTTATAAAGATGTTGAGATATGTATTTCAGGTCACATATGTCATATTTGGACAAAAAACGCGTCTAATTATACTCGCAAAACAATTATGTTGCTGATCTTTCTCAACTAAAGTATCTAACGGAAGTAAATTCGTTACTGAACACGAAGGTTTTTTACGTATTATTATTTTTTTAATTTGTCTAGAATTGTTTTTGCTCATTCTTGTATAAACACCATTACAAACTTTTAAATTTATACCACAAACGACTTTAAAATATTTCTACTGAACTACATTGCTGCACGTGTTTTAGAACACACTACTTCACTTCATCAGGCAAATGTATTTCTCGAAAAATACGTGCAGCAATGTTTTATAAATAAAATATTTTAAACTTATTTGTGTTGTCAATTTAAATATTTAAGGCAATTCTGATTAAGTTTAAGTAAAAACGTACCACATAATAAAAAATTCCATGTGTCTTGACATAATTATTATTATTATTTCAGCTAGTGTCAAGGAATTATCAATTAACAATAAATGCTGCGTGTAGCATAGTTCATGCAAATTCACTAAGTTAACCATGATAATTATGTTAGTGATCGAGGCAATTAAATCAGTTGTAACTTTCTGTATTGTTATTTAAACAGGAACTTGACACGAAAAGACGTAAGTAACTACAGTTGACGAACCAGCAATTTAGAAAAGATGTGATTGCTAACACAATTTTTGTTCAAATATTTCGAAAATGTTATCAAAATGGTAAAGTAGAACCGATTTCAGTATTCTAAAAATTCAATTTTTTTAATAAGTATTTTTCTTGTGTTTTTTTTAATAAAAGGTTAATGATAGTTTACTAGTATACTTTAAAAGGTGTCCTACACCTAAATCGAACACAAACAACTGTGATGAAATGTCTACCAAATATCATTGGTCTAACATAAACAAACAGTGGGTAGTATATTATTTTAATAAAAGTAACAAATTTCACCGAATTTCACGTGTCGCGTAAAATTTTACAACCTAGGGACTGAGCTTTTAAAAAATATATTATCTGAAAAAGAATTCGTTGACATTCCGATTCGAAAAATGCCAGCAGAAACAAAGTAACAATGCATTGAATTCATTGTGCATTTAAACTTGACTAATTCTCTAACTATAGACTAGGCCAGTTCATCTAATTTTTAGTGATTTTTTTTTAAATTTCCGCTGTTACAAAATAAAAATTCCAAGTGAAAGTTTGTTGAATTACACATATAAAATTCCGAATATTGGCTCATTCGATTGAAATGTCACCTTTATTTTAATTTTTTATCTAAAATGCAAAATTTGTGAATAAAGTGGGCCATGTTACATATGTCAGTTACTGCTGAAAAACATTTCACATTATAACGGATAACTTAAAAAGAAAAGAATTGTTAAATATTTAAAGAAAAATTTTCGCAACTGGCATCTTCAGTGTGTAAAAGTGAAATGAATATCGCCTTATCAAGTACTTAAAAAATAAACCCAGAACTTCCCTTTATCGTATCACACGTACACACATAATTATTTTATTTCTACACTAAATCTTGATTTTGACGACACAAAATAGTTACTCTGCAGATGACGTTACTAAACCACAATTCAATAGTAACCAACAAATAGCTCTTTATTGCAATCCGTTTCAAATTAAAATTTTACTACAAACGATTTTTTGGTTTAACTCTTGCAATTAGATCATCTTGAGAGTCTGACATATAAATTGTAATCAAAAAATATGGTTACTACATCTCATTCTTTCAGGTACGACGCGAATACGACTTTATTGTTGTCGGTGGGGGTTCAGCCGGTGCTGTGGTCGCCTCCCGCCTCTCAGAAATCGCCAATTGGACCGTCCTCCTTCTGGAAGCGGGTGGAGACGAAAATGAAATTTCCGATATTCCCGCCATGAGCGGCTATACCCAAATGAGCGAGTTCGATTGGATGTATCAGACATCACCACCCGGAGACTCCCCATACTGTTTGGCCATGATTGGTGACCGCTGCAACTGGCCCAGAGGAAAAGTAAGTATAGTGAAAATATTTCCTACACAATTTTGACAAAAGTGGTAAATTATCCACTCAAAGTACTACAATCTTCATCCAACTCATCCAAGTACCTGTTTGATACGTGATTACTAACATCCAAATAACAACGGTATTCAAAATTTACTACGAAAATATTCCAGTATACCCAACGATTACCAAAACCCATTCTAGGTACTCGGGGGTTCCAGTGTCCTCAACGCCATGATCTACATCCGCGGTAACAAACACGATTACGACCAATGGGAGCGCCAGGGCAACCGTGGGTGGTCGTACCAAGACGTTTTGCCCTATTTCCTCAAATCAGAGGACAACAGAAACCCGTACTTATCCAAAACGAAGTACCATCAAACTGGCGGCTATTTAACCGTACAAGAATCGCCATGGAGAACACCTCTTTCGATCGCGTTCCTCCAAGCTGGGAAAGAGTTAGGTTATGACATCAGGGACTGCAATGGCGAAAAGCAAACTGGTTTTATGTTGTCCCAAGGCACCCTCAGAAGAGGATCCCGGTGTTCGACGTCAAAAGCGTTTCTTCGACCAGTACGAATGAGAAACAACTTACACGTAGCAATGTACAGTCAGGCGACAAAAGTGATGATTAACCCCAAGACCAAAACAGCGTACGGGGTAAAGTTTGTAAGAAATAACCACCCCCAAACGGTGAGAGCTCGTCGTGAGGTAATTCTGTCAGCTGGAGCTATCGGGAGCCCCCATCTTCTCATGCTTTCGGGCGTTGGGGAGAAAAACCATCTACAATCGTTCCAAATCCCAGTTTTGAGCGATCTAAAGGTGGGGTATAATCTTCAAGATCACATCGGTCTTGGAGGGTTGACGTTCATAATCGATGATCCCATCACGTTCACGAAGAGCAGGTACCAGACTTTTGCCGTGGCTATGGAGTACATAGTAAACGAAAAAGGGCCTTTAACGTCACTTGGTGGAGTGGAAGGTCTCGCTTTCGTCAATACGAAGTACGCACCCAAAAGTGGCGACTGGCCGGATGTTCAGTTCCATTTCGCACCTTCAAGTATCAATTCTGATGGTGAACAAGTGAAGAAAATCACTGGATTAAGAGACTCTGTCTATAATACAATTTATAAACCTTTGCGCAATGCTGAAACATGGACTATTCTTCCGCTTTTGCTCCGTCCAAAAAGCAGCGGTTGGATTAAACTTAAATCCAAAGATCCAAGCGTTTACCCTGACATAAACCCAAACTACTTTACTCATCGTGAGGATATCCAGACTCTCACTGAAGGGATAAGGATAGCTTTGAATGTTTCAAATAGTCAAGCGTTCCAGAAGTTTAATTCTAGACCTCATCGAATCCCTTTTCCCAAATGTAGACAGTACGACTTTGATACTGATGACTATTGGGAGTGCTCGCTTCGACATTTCACGTTCACAATTTATCACCCAACTAGTACTTGTAAAATGGGTCCTGTGGAAGATCCAGACGCTGTGGTTGATCCGAGATTAAAAGTACACGGCATTAAGAATCTAAGGGTCATTGATGCCTCCATCATGCCCAATATTGTAAGTGGGAATACAAATGCTCCTACCATTATGATTGGAGAAAAAGGGGCAGATATGATTAAAGAGGATTGGGGCATAAAAATAAGATAATGATTATTTATTGAGTTTTACTAGTCAGTTAAGTGTGTATAGTGTACATAGGTGTAGATTAGGCAAAGTTTTTATATAATGAGTCCAAATTGATCATGTTGTGCAATTGAATGTATATAATTAATGTGACCTAAGCAATAAAGAAATGAATGTGATTTATGATAATTTGGTTGTTACCTAATTGCGGTTTCTGTAAACAAAACAACTTGGGGTTTAATTGAGAGAACACATGGAAGATTTCGGCAAACGTTTGTAATTTTGTTTATTAAAAAAATTGGGTAATGGTGTTAAATGTGGTTCCTTTCATGGGATGTGGAAATGGATGTAGACACTATGTTAATTAGAAGTTATTGCATAAATTTCGATTGTATGATAAAACAAAATTGTTCGTGCACTTTTTCCAGAATTTGGGGTGTCAAAATTTCGTTAATACTTAATGTAGATCAACTTCTGACGACGTGAATAACGTTTTAAAGGTCAGACTACAATCGAAGTTACGTTTCAAAATCTGTGCCGTCATTAAACATGGCGAAACTGTATCAAGGACGTTAGAGGAAGGAAATTTAATAATGTTATTTAATTTAATGAAGTTATGTGTGTATTAACTAATATAAAATCGAATAGATTTTATGAAGTGTTCATATATTTCGATTTTTTCAGTGACAACCCTTGCGATTCGAAACGATTTTTAAAATAAGACAAATTATTCCCATTCGTGCTTCCATTGTCATTAGTTTGTTGAATCTTCTATGGAAAATGGTATAAATTGGCGAATAATAATCAAATTCCCATAGAGTTGCCACTACTCAAAAAACACGGTAGTAATTTTGTTTGTTTTTCAACAAAGTATAAAGGTGTATAACTAAGTTTTCATAAGCTTAAACAAATATACATGTACAACTATTTACGCAAAGCAACGGTGAAAGTGTAAATTCATACTCGACAATTAAGCGACATCAAATGAGTAGGTATGACAAATGCAAAAAAATATTATAATGTAAACAAGTTGTTCATCTTAATCCGAAATTTCTCTTTGCACCAATCAAATATTAGCAGTTAATTTCTATCATAAGCTTTACAGGGTGATTACTTATTGTCCAATCTACTGGTTGGTTGTAACAAATTCGGCGCTCTGCTGAAAAAGACTAATTCGCTGTTAGGTTTTCCATGTTTTTGAACATTAACAATTGAGCCATGTCGCGGATAATAATGAACATTCCAATGAAAAAAACAACAACGAAGATTCATTGGCAATGACGAAGGTCTAAAATTTTACAAAAGTTATGTCCGTGAGGTACAAAAGGGTTGGAAATGGTTTTACTCTTTTTACACCGAATCAAAAAGCAAATAAAGTTGTGTGTTTAAGAAGAATATGAAGATTGGTGGGAGACGACTATTACTATGAAATTTGGGTCTATTGTTATGATCCCGAGATGAATAAGTACAGCAAATAATAGGTAGAAAAAGGAAGATGACCACCCAAAAAAAAGCACGTGCAAAGCACGTGGCAAAAGCTGTAGTCATAACATTTTTTGATTCCAGGGGGATGATATATACTCATACGATCCCACTTCGCTAAATGCAAATCATTACAAAATAGTTTTGCGTCACCTGATGAAGGATCACAGTCTTAGATAACGACCCCAAATGATGGGAAAGTCTAAACTTCATTACGATAATGTTCGCTCCCACGTGGCTAACACTGTGACTGAATTTTTCAACAGTAAAAATGCCAAGGGTGTACCGAATCCTCCATATACTCCCATGCGACTTCTATTCCCTCAAGCGAGAACAGAGCGGCGGTTTCCAATAGAATTGAATGCTGTTAAGAGGCGATTTTGAAGAGGCTCTCAAAGAATGGCTACCGTCATGTATTATTGTTGAAGAGTACTCAATAAACTTTTGGCAATCCTAGTCCTACATTTTTCTGAACAACTTCCAATAAGTACATTCAATTAAGCAAATTCAGGACATTTACACTACTTTTTTAGTAGAAAAAGTCACACGATGGATGTTTTTAGAAATTCATTAATTTATGGAATATATTTTGAAGTGAAGTACTAAATATTTACAATAATCTTAATCATTCGCACGGGTGATGGCTACATTTGCTGCGCCTAATCCAGAAATGTGCTAATGAGGAGCTGGATTTCTTCTTTTTCTCCTGTTCCACGAAATTTTAAATGCGTTTTGTACGTAGTTTTTTCCCCATTCAACTGTCAATAATTTCAGAGTGGTTTAAGTAGTTCCGATACTCTCCACTATCCATTAGGTAGGATGTTACCTTTTATTTAATACATGCAACTCAAATTTCAAAATTCAATCAGCAAATTCTATTAATTTAAAAAATATATAGATATCTTTGTCACCAACGCAATATTTGTCAAAATCATTGCTACAGCTTCCTATCTTAACACTCATTTTGATTTTCTCCTTTTATTCAATTTTATTAACACCATACTTTGCAAGTGACAAAAGACAATTTTTTTCCGTTTTGTGAGCTCGTCCCACGACAAAGTAACTTTCAATTCAAGCTCTAAATGTTATTCATTCTATGACGTAAAAAACTCATGCAGGTATAGATCTCACAGTCTATTTTTTAGTTATAAATTGAAAGAAAGATGCAATTGTAGTAACTGTAGATGGTTGAAACTTTACCGTTGTTGTATCTATTGTTATTTTGTGATGACGATCTTGTATTCTCAGTGGAAGAAATTGTGAAGAAGAGTCAACTGTCAACGAGGAAGGGATACTCAGTAAAGTTTTCTGTATTTTCCTAATCAATATCATTTATGTTTATGTAAATTCCGAATAAAAGTTGTACGTTTATGTTCTGACTTTGTTGAACAAATCTATTGTTCTTTACAGGGTGTTTATGGTTTCCCAGTTGAACTCAGTGTCTGTTGCTTCAAAATTTTGACATTATTTCAAATTACTATGCTTTCACTACTATGGAGAAAATCATCAGTTTTAAAGTTAAGATCAAAGTAATAAGTAATAGAGTAAGTAACATATACACAGCAGTTTGTTATAAGTACAATATTGGGTTTTTTCAAAAATCCACACGAAAAATGTTTAAAAAAGGCTGGATTAATAAACAACGTGTACAGATACATTATTATACATTATCTTAGGCACGATTTATCTAGCAAATGAAATGACGTCATCATATTTTTACTGGGGATCAACAGACAGGTGAATTTTGACGTTTTATCACCTAAACGATATTCTTACAGTATAAGTGACACTTTTTATATAATTTTTAAGATGACTCAAACTTTCTGGAGAGCATGAAAAAATTAATTTTAACTGGTTAGTAAACATTAATTAATGTAAGCCAAATTTTGATTAGTGTACTACTACCAAGTAATTGACTTAGTGGTCGCCAACAGGCAGACGGATAGTAGACAGATCGACAGACAGGTCTTCAGTAAATACTTATATGGCAACAAGAGATCGATATTTTAAGAAAATATGTAATTATGAGTAGATATCGATTATTCTCAAATGTATGCGTAAATACGAGTATATAAGAATAACAAAAAACTTTTCCACTTAACTGGCAAAAAACAAGTTTTTTTGGCATTGTATACATAAAACACTTTATAATCCTAATTTGCACTACTAATCTAACTTGTGGTGTTTAAAAACATGAAAATATATTTTTCGGTGAGTAAATTTGCCACAGACTTATTTTCACATCAAAGTGAAAAATTGTATTGAAAGATAAAATCACAAGGTTATAGAGTATAGTGATTCCACTTTTCTGCCTAGGCTGTTTTCGTATTTTTTCTGGCGTTCATCAGCAGAAAAAAAACTGAGGGGTAGGTACCTAATTCTTTGATTTGTGACCATGATCAAAAGTGTCTTTGAATTTTTTATACCTTAGAATACACGTTAGTTATCGTATTAGTGCTTTAAGAAGCAGCTCAAATTGATTTTTGTTACAATTTTTTATATTTCAACATTTTCATGTGCAATAAATTAGATCCAGATTCACGTTCGACCAAAATAGCATGTTTTATTCGGGGAAAAATGACTTTTTGTGGCTCATCTGTATATACTAAGATCACTTTAAAAGAATGCAGACAATATTTTACAACTTTAGTGAAAGATCCCAACCCGCAAACCATAAATTATGCAGGTACGATCGCCAAAGACCGTCTGCTTGGGGCAGCACAGGAAATTCTGTAGGCACGCGACAGGGTTTACAAGTTTACAAGGACGCTACTGCGAAAAGCCGACTCGGCATTGTCAACCAAATAACCCTAATTATGTCATAAAATTTTATTAGGATGCGTTCTTAGTATACAAAATTCACTTGACATACACCTTATAAAACTTTTATGACTTAAGCGGCTTAAGCCAAACCACCCATACGTCAAACTGGCTATTGTAAGCTTTATGGAACCGAACCGCAAGGATTATTACTGTCCATTGTTACCATAATGGAGCTGTAAAGTTTTACTAGGTATATGGGAACTGAGTTAAGTTATACAATAGCCAGTTTGACTTATAAGGGTGCTTTGGCTTAACTCGCTTAAGTCATAAAAGTTTTACAAGGTGTATGTCAAGTGAGTTTTGTATAATTGCCAGCATCGCGCACTCGGCTGTCAAACCTACAGATTCTACACGAAAAATCTCAGCTTTGCTCCTAATAAAACGATATATTTTGAGCATAAAAGATCATTAAAAAAATCCTCACAGAAATTTTGAAAATTTAAAACTGCAAAAATTTAAAATCTATCGAAAATAATGCTCCAACAAGTCTTGAAATTTTAAAAGATGGAGGAAAGCTGAAGTTTATGCTGAAAAACGAAAATTGATATTATTTTATTAAACAGAACTTCCCTCGCTTGTTCGAACAATTATAAAATTTAATTTTGCGAATTTTATTTTTTTTTATGATAACTCCTGTAAGTTATCTGTGTAGTGATACACTATAGGCAAAGAAGCATGCTAGGTATTGTTCCAAGTGAGTTTTTCCATTACAAAATTTTATGATGACGTCATCAACATTTTAGCACGCGCACATAATATATCAATATTGCATTCCTAAATTTTACGGAACATGGGGTGAGTCGTTCTTAATTTGACGAATAAACTAAACTCCCTTTTGCATACATTTTTGTAAGTCACAAAGAATAATGAATTGATAAACAAGTATAGACTGATATACAAATAAAATTTAACAACAATTACTCCAGTAGTTTTGGAGATTATTTCGACACAGACAGACAGCAGATATATTGTTTCGTACTCCAGGAGTAAGAAACGTCAAGAAAACATGAAGCTTAGCCATTTTTGATAGCTTAATTGTTGGAAAATTGTATAACCTAAAATATATTTATTTTTTAGGTCATATTACGACAACACAGGCTGAGGCCTGAATTTTTTCTATAATCAAACGAAATTAATTCAAATTTTAAACTTTTTAATTTAGTGCAATTTTTTTTTATTATTATTAATTTGACAATTACATCAAAGTTGAAAATTTAAAAATTTTATAGTTTCAGGATAATGCCTCTCGTTAAACGAAGTATCGGAACATGGCAAACTTACTTTGATATTCTAATTCTTCTAAACATACAAAAAAAATGCTTTTAGTATGGTTTTCGGTATGGAAAAAAGTTCCAGTTTTTAAAAATGTATTTAGTGAAACAAATAAATTCTGTTAATCCTTAAAATCTCGTTATCGAAAACTTAAACAATCTTCTCTCCGTACGACTAATTAACACTTCAAGACTCCATCCCTTTCCTTTCTTTTTCTGCGTACTAAAAATTTTAAAGCCTATTTACTGCAACATTAAAGTGCAATAAAATGTTTTCACTTGAACAAACAATACCGGTGCTGGTGAAAGCATTGCCAAAACCTAAACAGTCTTCCTTGCAACTTCCTTCGCTTTCTCTGCCTTCGAAGAAGTTGAAACTTACCCTAAATTGTACAACACAACCTTACAGAATTTCAGCCCCCGTACGTGCAGCAAGCATTTACTTTCTCTTGTGTATCGGTAACGATGGCGTCTTCAAGGCACCGTGCTATTGTGCACGTGCCTCGACCTCCACAAGCGGAAGAATCTTTCTTCACTCTTACTTTTAAACTAATTCTGTTTCCCACTACTGGTCATAGACTGTAATTTAACACGAAGAGTTATGTCTTTAGAGATAATGGTGGGATTACGAAATCTATTGAGAAAGATGAGTAAGGCCGCGTTTTCACAATAAATGGTAATTGTTTGTGTATTCTTTTTAAGTGAGTTGAGTCTGTTGCGAATATGGATTTAGGTTTGGGAAACGTGTGATGTTTGGAGGACACGGTTTGATCTTTAAAATTTTTAATTTAATGGGTTTCCGAGACAGTGAACTTTGAAATATATGCGTGTGCTCAGGTAGAGTATCGACTTTCTTGATTACATATTAGTGAAAGTATTAGGTAACATGGTGGCATTGTAAACATTCTGAATTCCTTTTGCACGGTGTTTTTATGGGTGACGTGACGATAGACAGGAATCGAGTTTTTATTCAATGTTGAGGTCATGCTGGTGCTTAACTAGGGGGCGCTAGAAATTTTATGTTTAATGTATGTGTATCAATAAAAGACTTTTCTACATTATCATTGCAAAATATTCTAAATATGCAATTTTCGATTTTGGCGTTTGGAATTTTTATTTAACCTCATGTTATTTTAATTCCGGAATCACGTCAATAGTAAATATCACAATATTTACAACTTACAACAGTTTAAAATGTTATGGACTGAAAGATTTTTTACTTTTCGAGATTTCTATTTTAGTCAGAATTATTAAAAATAATTATAAAAAGTAAAGATCCTTTAATCTGATAGTGAATTTTTGATACAAGAATAATATAAAAATACTACTTAATAAAATTTTACCGATTCACACATTGCCTAAAGGTGCTTTATGTTGCCATGAACTACAACTATAAAGAACTTCACAACTATTGGGTTAACTGTAAATGTCAATTGAAGTACCTGAGGGTGTTCAAATATTATGTGGATGGTCATTAACCATAATCAATACACAGTTTAATTCTTCCTTCTATTTAGCAAATTAAACCGTTGCACAGACAATTCACAACAAAATTTTTACTAGTGTACACCAGGACTGCAAAATTTTAAGATCAATGGTTTTAAAGTGCATATATCTATTTCGAAGAGAACTTCTTGGTTGTATTCTCTAAAAAAATTTTTGATGGTGAGTTTGGTTCAAAATTTGTTGTATTTAAAAAGAAATAAGATATTTAGAAATTTTATAATTATTATTAAGTCTTGAAAACTTGTATTTCGTTTGTTATTAATCATTATTTATATAATTTAACTGAACATTTTTTACGTTCTGATCGTAAGTATTGTAATAGGGTCCATTCGATCAACGATTTCATGGCCCCTAGGATACGAAAAAATAGGTCCCCGTCCCGTTTATCCCGTGTATATTTTATTAACCTCATAATCTCTGAAACTAAAGGACTGATTGTTGTATGAATTTTAGAGCCATCATGTAGATGGTAATATACCAACCAAAATTTGTTTGAGCCTTCTCACCAACAATTTGCTGTTGAAATTTTGTAAAATAACAAGCTCCTATCTTTGTGATTCATGAATCCGCCTTGACTTTTTTACCAAAATATCCAGATTGTTGAGGAAAATTAAATTACATATATAACAACGATTTTATAATTAAAAAAACTCATTTGAAATTTGCGTGCTTGTTTAGCTGTAGGTTAGCAGTCGACACATATGTTTAGGAATTTTAACTTCTAAGGATTACCATAAAAAAAGATAATTAATTCATTTCTACCTCCAAACGTTGGATCAAGGAATTAAAAATGGAATTTGGAATTTCGATTTTACAATTTATCTCAGAAATCACATAACAGGCTTCTTCAAAATTCTGAGGAAACATTAATACTAAATTAGAAATTAGAAAACAATAATCACTGCATCTTGTATTTATCTCCATAGGACGTTTGACGACGTCTTTCAAAATGTTATTTATAATTACTGAATTGTACCGAGTAATTTGATCGTTTGTCTAAGAAACGACTACGCTAATTTCACAGAGATTCTGGAAACTTGGAACTATTTTATCGGACTTATTAAAATTAATAAATAAAATTTATCCAAATTAAAAGTTGATTTGCTAAAAGTCAGTAACATTTGCGGGTATATTATTATTAAACACTATTTGAAGTTTTATCGTTAACGACGTTCTCAGGTTGAAAAAGGTCCTCTCTCGATTTTATTAAAATTTTTGGAAAGATAATGAAAGTATAATGATAAAAATGCCGTAATATTATTCACTGTATTTGATAAATAACTATGATAAAAGCAATTTTGAAATGGGTATATGTTTTACTATCATACAGTCCCTTGACTAAATATTACCTACTGTGAACCACAAACAGCACCAAAAATAAAATAAACACATTTGTTAAGGGTAAATAACTTTATACATTTATTTTTTTGAACTACTACTAACGGTTCTAACATTTTAAAAAACAGATGTTATAATTTTGGAGGCAGCAGAATCATGAAATATCAATTCACTTTTTTTGTGCAAATGCAAAAAAGAACGACTTCTATTTTATCCGTAAAGCACCATTTCGATAATGGCCGGAAAAATAAAAATGGAACACGTATCATTTTTTTAACGCAACGAAATCAAAATCAAGAAATTAATGATTTGAGAGTTTGGTCGCTCAAGTTGTAAGCATTAGCAGCATATTTTTTAATTAACCCAATTTTTACGCTTTTATTGTTTTCCTCTTAATTATATATTAAAACCTACTGATGTATGCATGATCGGATTTTATTTAGTAGCCGTTTTGAATATTTAATAAAATTTAATAATTAATAAAAGAAGTAGACTTACTTATTTAAATCAAATTAAAGTTAAAATTAGGGAAAAGTTCCCTCGCAAACCTGTCAAAACTTATGTTTTGGCCTGTACATCTAAAAATTTTGCAACTTTCTAACAGCTCATCGATATTCTTAAACCCTTGTTTTATAAACTTGTCTTTCATTCGGAACTCTTTCTTTTTCGGTTTTTCCACCAAACTATCGAATCGTTTTTTATCGATGACATCAGCCATTCCTACGTAAACTTAACCTTACAATTTACGTAACAACTTCCGAAATTATTCGAGCGAAAAACGTATATGTTGCAGACACTTCCTCACTTCCTTTCAGTAAGTCTTAAGAACTCAACACATCCCCACTAACACAAAACAGTAAAGAGCTTTGGAAGTGACTGGCAGTGTCCTGTGTCGAGGTTCAAATCAGTTTGTAATACACCAAGTAAGTAGGTGCAAACGCAAAGTGAAAGAAAATTTAAGCGAATAAGTTGAAAGAAGAACATGTGATACAGGTGTTGATGAATGTTGGAAGGAGAAGGTCAAAAAGAAAAATCGTACGAGTTAGAATTGAACGAATTATCAACGATGGAATATCAAATAAATGTAAGTCAAATATCCCTTTACCTTAAACCCATTTATAATAGTAAAAAAATAGTAATAACACCTAAAATAATTTGCATTTACGTCGTATGTCCAGCACATTCTTGTGCCCAAAACCTGCTATGTCGTAATACCTGCAATAGCTCGAAGATCATTATTGCGTTAACACATTACATAATCAACTTTCTTCGACGAAATCTTGAAATAGTTAATTGGCGCCTTTGACATTCATTACTCATCCGTGTAGAATTTTTCCCGCTTTTCTTTGCTTCATTTAAATACGTAAGTATTTACGCGAACTGTGGATAAATCTATTGTCCATTGTATTAGCAACGCTCGGCCAGCGAAATCGGAAGTAAATATTTATTGGCATTTAAAATAAATCCGCGTTTTCTTCTGCGGAAGTAGTGCCGGAAGAAAGTGTTCCGTTCTTACGTCATTGATCGTAACTTGGCTTTGCTTTGACACTGATTGTTACTGTTATGACGTTTTTTTCTCTTTAACTTTTCGCATGAAGAAAGCATGACTCGGTGAATAGACGACTGTAATTTGGCTGTTCTACTCTTGCATATTCATAATTTTGATAGTGCTGGTATGCACGTATGGTAGTGAACGCATTATCTTAATCACCTATTGTGAAAAAATTAAAACAAGTGAAATTGGGGAATATGATCTTTATTAATTTTGTGATGCTTTTTAAGTGGGAAGGCTTTTATTGTGTGATTACACTTAATTTGATGAGTTTGCATGTCGAGGTGCAATTACGAGGTGAAATTGAGCGTCAGGATTTTGCAATATTATATACACTGTTGGCAAAACTTGGATCTTCAGAAACTAAATGACGTCATTTTGATTCATTATAAACATTTTAGGACAGTAAATTAAATCTCTTTATGTGTATTTACCTTATCTCCTGCAGAAACAAACGATAAAATTCCGGCGTTGTGACTTTCAAAAAGTTGAATTACCTGAAACAAAACTAAAGTAAATATTTATTTATTACCAAGACAGAAATAAAAACAGTATTTTTTTAACGTAACAGGTACGATAAATAACTTAACAATCTTGGTACTGTGTACTATAGAGTAGTTTTTTAACAAGTAAACGGACCTGCTACAACAATAGTTTTGTTTTCATTTTCACGTCGCTTTCAGTTCTCATGAAAAATTATTTCTCGACTTTGCATTTGGTATTCGGGAAAAAACCTTATACGGATATCGCTGAAAAATGAAATAAATATAAGTGAAATTCATAAAAAGATTCGACGGTTTCGCGGCTAAAAGACGGACATTGTAACGTATATAGTTATTAACTAATAAAAGGAACTGATAACACGTACGCACAAGATTACGAAGAAAGTGAAACGGAACACCAAACGTTGAATCAGTTCCGCATTCTGTTTACGAAGTAGAAGACGTCGTTATTTTTTTTTTTGGAATCATGTTCTACAGAAGCCAGTTATTTCTTGGCAGGTAGATATTTTTTTAATTAAAATGTTTCTACCATTGTTTTTGTATGTTCATTGTTTCAGGATCCGAGTACTACTATTTTTAATTTGGGAACTACAATATATTATCAAAATCTGGTCACACTATATATTTTTTTTAATTAAGCCGTCTATTTAGCTGCGGCATGTTAATTTTTGAAATGTTTACGATTGTTTTCATTAATTTTTTCTAAATTCACTGTAAGTACAACTCCCTGGTGCTCGTAAATATTAACTTCAACCAACCTCTCGAGTTTAATTAAATCTTTCTCCACTATAAACTATAAATTTACTCGTACAACAGGGGTACTAAACCTGATTTATACACGGAATAATGAGTTCAGACAATTTATTTATATAAAAAGTAAGACTGTAGAAGGCACTAAAGTTTTTAAGTCTTTTTTTATCCCCAATTGTAGAAAATGAAAAAAATTGTACTCTTGCAATAAAGTGCCTACTTTGTATGTATATATGTATTGTTTTTTATTATTATGTATAAATAGTAAGAGGTAAATTACCATGAATTGCTAAAACATTCTGATTGTGAAATCATTTATAGTTTTAATGTTCCAAATTCTAGATGTTCAAAATTAAAAAAAAAAAAAAAACACACAAATGGTCGAAGATTATTTCAACAGAACTTCCATAGCCGTTGAAGTATAGTATTATTTATTCGCATGTTTTAAATGAATATTACTAAATTTTCTGATGATGTCATCTAGCAAGTGTACACAGTTTGGATAACTGGAGTGTCATACTAATAATTATGGTACAATACTCCCAAATTTTCTAGAAAACTGGGTGAGCCATTCTTGATTTAATCAACAAAATAAATTGTCTCATTATTTTTTTTTTTTGCCTTACTCTGTATAACTAATTTTAAATACGATGTCACTCAGAACACCATACATATTGAAATATTAAAGAAAACAGTTGAGTGCGGCTCCTCTGCTATTCAGGACTCAATTTTGTCCTGAATAGTCCCTTATTTTAAGTAGTTCCTTCAATATAATATGTAACTTAGTTTCATGATTTGTTTCCGTTAAAAACCTAACCTGAATGGCGCCATTTCTAACGGACCCTGGACTGCTGTTTTAATAAAACTGAATTACTTTTTTTGTGCAATAAATGAGTAAGCGTGGTAGAGAACCTGTGCCATAGTATGACATGCATAAATATACATATTCTACATTTGTGGTTTGTGGTTTCTGAATCCACTTTTATTTTTTAACCAAGACATCCATATTTTTCGCTACTTTCAGGTTTTTTCGACGATTTATGACCCCTAGAGCACGCAAAAATAGACCTCTCGTTACCGTCTGTCTGTGGTATGTCTGCTTGTCTGTCGTCTGTGTCAATTTTTATAAAGTAGACAATCTCCGAAACTATTGCCTGGATTGTTTTAAAATTTTATATGTATGTTAGGAATATCGTGTAGATTGTAAAACGCTAACCAAAAATTGTTTACTCAACCAATCACCCCATCAACAACGGAATGATATCACCTCCAACATTTTAAAATAAGATAGTGCTAACCTTGTGGTTCATGAATGCGTATTGAGTTTCTACCTAGACATCCAGATTTTTGGGGAAAAAGTCAAAATTGAAATTTGAAATTGCAAAATCGAATGCTCTGAAATCTTGCAAACGTTTAAAGATAACCCTTGGGAGAATAAATAGTTAATTAAAGTCTATCCCCGCCCCCCCCCCCATCAATGATTTATTTTGCCGAATAAATGATCTTTAAATTTTACAAAATAACTCCTGCATGTGTAATTTATGAATCCGCGTTGAGACATGCAAATTTTTGGGAAAAAAATCACAACACTGCCGTGTTATCAATAACAAGACGGGTTCTAAGCCGCATAGATTCAGCTGGTGCTACAATAAAATGCTAACTTTAGTTGACTGAGGTGAAATTTTATTCTCTACGACACTATTTTCAGTGAGAATTTAGAAACTTCAATTCGGAGAAATTCACAAAGATAAAATTTTCGACATGTCAAAGTGTAGTACTTTTCAATGGCCACGACTGAACGTGCGAGGGTCTCCTAATTAATAAATAAATTAATAATAAATGAGTGGGTATAATTTTCTTGAATAAGGCATTATAAAACATTTTTCCACATTCAAATAAATTCGACTGACATGGCACCATTTGCGTCTGGAGAAATTTACTGGCACAAGGAGAGTTGTTTTGTATTGATTTTAAGATCCTCAGCAAAAAATAAAGAATTACATTTCATAGTTTGGGGTAAGTCATTGATGAAAATAATGAATAGAAGGAGTCCCAGGTTTGAGCTCTGGGGCACTTCAGAAGTTGGTATTATACTTTTCGAATGGACATTTTGATATTCGACTATTTTAGTGTTATTTTTAACACCATCTAACGTATTATTGGCACTGTTTAACATTGCAAATCGTAGCGAGGCCAGCTTTGTGTTTTATTTTTGGTTTTTGGTTACTCTAGATTCTCTTCTCGTTCTATAACTATATGTATCTGACGAATTTATGTTTTTATTCTAAGTTCGTTTGTTTCCAATCTAGTTTTTTGTGTTTTTATTTCTAGCCTCGTTAATTCCTTATTTAAACTAAACTTTTTTCTCAATTTTTTTTCTGACTTAATTCAGAACTCACTCACAACGAGGTTAAATTGATATATTGCAGTGCCTTTTTACTTATACGTAGTTCTCTATATACTTTGCATAACTTTGGTTGAAAATTTGATGTATAACGAATGGGACAATTAATATTATGCAAGCTGGTTTATTTGAAGCATTGTTGCATGAATACCAATACAGGCATTTTACATTATGTTATAATCTAATCTGAATTGAAAACAAGCTACTAATGGCGACGTTTAGGAAATCTTTCGGTAATTACAAGTACATATTGTAATGAATAAAAGAACAAAATCCATAATTACGCAAAGGGAATCTTTTTTCAGCTGTTATCATTATACGGTCGTAATCACACTACCTTTGATACCTATACTACTTATTATGTAACAGACTACTCACGTAACACGTCGTGTTCAAAGTTGAAGGGGAATTAGTAATTAGAATCATTCCGAACAAAGTCATCTAACTTTTCCAGAATAATACTCTTGCCTTAATTTTCAAAGCTGCTTCCATCTACACCTATTTTGACGGCTGATGCATTTCCTGCCCTTCAGATACTAATTTCTTTCTTCGAGTTTTATATGTTCTCTCTTTCTCATGCAAAGTTGTTTTTGTTTTAACGCGTTCTCACCTCCAAAAAATCATTAAAATCATTGAACAGTGTTTTCTCTTCGTTCAACAGTAACAGTTGTTCTGGAGTTGGCAAACTTTTCGGAAGAGACTACAATGAATGGTTTAATAGTAGAAATCACGAATTAGTAAACATTGAATTTCTGGTTCCAAAAATGTTTATTGGAAACAAACGGCTTCGAATTATGGTAACGATAATAATTTACACCCCTACTTCTCTCCGATTGGTTGCTTGAAAGTACCGAATCTTAATGTTGTTATAATATTTAATAATCAAAGATACAGATTTGCAACACCCTTGATCCTTTCGGCAAACGCCCAAAAGCAAGGAAACGTTGTAAATCAAAGGTGGATTTAGCACCCTCAGCGGTTTATTAAGAGCTTCCAATGAACACTTTTGGGAATAAAAAATCAATGTTCACTAATTCCTGGTTTCTATTATACCCCATTTTGCAGCAAGAGCACGTACTTTATGTAAAGTAAACTAAACTCGTTTGAGTTGTACCTTAGTAAAATTTTATTGCATCAATCCATCAAAAAATTTCGACTACCGAACCGCAATCATAAATTGTATCAATGCCCATTTGGTGCAGACATTACGGCCGGCCTTGCACGTACAGCAGACATCAGCCTTTTTCGGCTGTAAATTTTTCTTGAATTGTTAGTGACTTTACTGTACTCAAAGTGATTCATTTTTCTTTAATCCCAAGAAATAGTCAAATTGAACATAATTTTACTAAAATGAATTTCTTAGCTACCAACAGGCAATAATACATCCATATGTGCATTAAACTTTAAATATTCCTCTAATTCCACACTTTAAAATTTAAATATTATCCATTATCGATCAACTGTAATTACGAAAATATTCGTGTTAAAGCAGGGAGAAAATAATCCAATTTGAACTTCAAACAACACCTAAAAATCCAAGAAAATTTAAAGCTTTGGTGTCATCCTTTAATAATATGCAAGAACTCTACATATTCAACATATAGTTATACATTCATAAATGTATGATTTAATCTTTTTTTGCCAAAACAGTCTGTATTTTTTCTTTAGATTATATTCCCTAAAATTTTTCTACACGAACGTTTCTTTCTAGGTCAACACTTAAAACCCTACGATGAGACCATTCTCGCAAATCCAGCCACTTCAACAAAAATTCAGACGCACTAAAATGAAATTTCATCCACCTGACTAACTCACCATATCGTACTTCAAAACCAAGAGAAATCTAGTCATTCTACAGGTATCAAAATAAACAACAAACAACTTCTCAAACTCCTTTAATAACCTTTTCAACATTTCAGCACAATGGTAGTTGAAACTCTCTTCGTATCCACAGCCTTAAGAACAATCGGAATTGTTGGCTCCACACTATGGGTCATCCCCTTAATCCTTGCCGGTATCTACTACAACTACGACAAACTCGACCCCGAATCACCCATCATCAATCAGAAAACTCTCTACAAAGAATACGACTTCGTCGTCGTGGGGGGTGGTTCCGCCGGAGCCGTAGTCGCCGGCCGCTTATCAGAAATTCCTTCTTGGAACGTACTCCTCCTTGAAGCTGGTCCCGATGAAAACGAAATCTCCGACGTTCCATCATTGGCCGCATATCTCCAATTGTCGAAACTTGATTGGACATACAAAACCGAACCCACTGGGAGGGCCTGTCTAGGGATGAAAAATGGGCAGTGCAATTGGCCGAGAGGGAAGGTCTTAGGCGGGTCGAGTGTGTTGAACTATATGTTGTATGTGAGGGGGAACCGGCATGATTACGATCATTGGGAGAATCTTGGTAGGTTTGAGGGGTCTTTACAATTTTCATTATTTAATCGGTGATAGGTGTATGGAAAAATAATGACAAAGTCTGAATGTTAAGAGAGAAAATACTAGTAAAAGGTAAATAAATAACCATCCAAAACTAACAACAGAACAATGACACTAAAGATATTATGATGTACAATAAAATAAAGTCGATTTTAGGAAATCCTGGATGGAACTACCAGAGCGTCCTCCATTATTTTAAAAAATCAGAGGATAATCGGAACCCTTACTTGGCCAAAACACCATACCATTCACAAGGTGGTCCTTTAACAGTCCAGGAATCTCCATGGAGGACCCCTTTGGTCCTAGCTTTCGTCCAAGCGGGAACTGAAATGGGTTACCCTAACCGCGATATCAATGGAGCCGACCAGGCTGGATTTATGGTAGCTCAAGGTACCATCCGTCGCGGTTCTCGCTGCTCGACTGCTAAAGCCTTCCTTCGACCCGTCCGTTTACGTAAAAATATCCACATAGCCTTAAACTCACATGTGACTCGAGTTCTAATCAACCCAACGACCATGAGAGCTTTTGGTGTCGAATTTGTCCGTGATGGTCATCGCCAAATCGTCTTAGCTCGTAAAGAAGTGATCATGTCGGCCGGTGCCATTAACACCCCACAAATACTGATGTTGTCAGGGATAGGACCGAAACGCGAACTCGCAAAGCACGGTATACCGATCCTGAAAGATCTACCTGTTGGTGAGAATTTACAAGATCATGTTGGCATGGGAGGATTCACCTTCATGGTAAACAAACCTGTTTCCATCGTCCAAGATCGATTCCAAGCTTTTCCCATGACAATGCAATACGTAGTACACGCGAAAGGACCCATGACCACATTGGGTGGGGTCGAAGGGTTAGCTTTCGTCAACACGAAGTACGGTAATCGCAGCTGGCCCGATATACAGTTCCACATGGCTCCTGCTAGCATTAACTCCGACGCCGGTTACAGAGTTAGGAAGGTTCTAGGAATTACGGACCACCTGTATAATACTGTCTATAAACCAATTTCCAACAAAGACGTCTTCTCCTTAATGCCATTACTCTTGAGGCCACGATCGCGCGGATGGGTCCGTATTCAAAGCAAAAACCCATTTGTTGCGCCTATCATCAACGCCAACTATTTTGACGATCCTAGAGATATCAAAGTTTTGGTTGAAGGGGCAAAAATGGCAGTACAAATTGGGGAAGCTAATGCTTTTAAGCAGTTTGGGACGAGGGTTCATCAGATACCTTTTCCGAATTGTAAAGAGTTTAGATTTCTGAGTGATGAATATTTAGAGTGCCATATAAGGACTATTTCAATGACTATTTATCATCCAGTGGGGACTTGTAAGATGGGTCCCAGCTGGGATAAGGAAGCTGTTGTTGATCCTAGACTGAAAGTGTACGGTGTTAAGGGGTTAAGAGTGATTGATGCATCCATTATGCCAACTATACCGAGTGGAAACACGAATGCTCCTGCTATCATGGTGGGGGAAAAAGGTGCGGACCTAGTAAAAGAAGACTGGCATGTGAGACGTGTATGATGGTTCTTTTTTCAGTCTATAGTTATTTTATTGGCAGTTTCACGTAGGTAATTATTCATGTTTGTCAGAAGTTAGAATAAATGACTCTGTTGTATATTTGTAAATATGTGTATTTATGCTCAAAATTGTTATATGTTCGTTAGCTGTAAGTTGTTAAATTGTTAAGCGTCACGTTGTTAAATTTAAGTAGAAATTAGAAATAACTATATAAGTAATCCAGCCATTTAGCAAGCCAGTGACAGATGTTTCAACTCTTTTCATTGTCATTGCAATACTTGTGCGGCAGATCTTGTCATGTTGTTGCCTTCTACACCAAGCATAGCATTTTTTAAAGGATGTTAATGCTAAGTCATTTTTTTTCACGATATAGAAATAAAACAGTAGAAATAAAATATATATAGTTAATAAACATCATCAGGATATCGATCTCTTACAACAGCTTAATATAATTTGTGACAGTTGTAAGTACTTAAATCGATGATTACCACGTAGTGTTATAGAAATTCTTCCAGTAATCCCCTACATGACAATTACATACACTGATGCATTTACATCTTTGAAACAATCACCGGATGCAAATCTACAACAATGTCATAACTCGTTTTGTCACTGCTAACTGGTAAAATAGTAGTAAGTTTAAACTCCCACATCTGAAATTGCAGAGAAAATGTTTACAATTAACGTTAAACCAATAGTTAAAAAATATATTCTGAGAGTTAGTTGTAGGCTAACCTACAAAATGCTCAGTGACAAATTTGAAACCTGCCAAGTCCACTACCAAATATTAGGGGGCACTTTCGTCAGATGCCTGCAGCAACCTGCGCAATGGTTACTCTTATCCTTTTCACAGTTTCCATAAGGTTACAGTGGAACCTCAATATGCCATAGATTGGTAACATTTTTTAACAAATTTCATTTCATGTTCGAAATACAGGGAGATAATAAAAAAATGCAGTCAACGGTGGCTCCGACACGACTGAATTTGTGTGCCGCTTCTTATTTACAGTATTTATATAAAATTATTAATTTTATTGTAAAGTTAATGCGCAATAAAAAAAAAGGAAAAAATATTAATGACGAAATACCAATAATTTCATCTTTCCTAGTCAACTGTCCTCAAAGTTGACATTTGAATTTTAAAACTGCAGAGAAAAGAATTATTTCCTTGCCAACAGTTTGGATTAATCGCCGGTAAGTTAGGATTGAGCAGTGAGTGAACTTATACAAAATACCTTTTCTTGTGAATTCTTGAACACAATTTTAACAACGTTAACCACGTGACTTGATACATCAAAATATCAAGTGACAGAATAGTTACTAAAATAAATTACTAAAATCTACATTTAAAATTCAAAATCCATAGTTACATTGTGGACATTTACGAATGTCAACAGACAAGTGCGTCGGCTATATGTGGTTCATTGGTTATGGGGGAATTTCTTCTTGCACTATTGACAGCACTGTGCACTTAGATCGTTTGTTTTGTTGTCCAGAATACATGTTATTTGACTTGTTAATTTGCAGAACAAAATACGTTTATTATTGGACATTCAGTGCGAATGGTCAATGGGTGTATTTTGTCCAACCTTGTAAGGATCAATATCTAGCGAATTTTTTAAATGTAGACACGGAGAAACAATCTTTAAAACACTCGCATAAAAAGAACAGTGGACCGATTCAACAGCACTGGAAATGTTCCTAACGGTAAGTCAGTAGGAAAACCTCCACCAGTTAGTGAAGACATAGTTGAAGATTTGGGAGAAATGATGGAAGAACGCCTCAAAAAAATCTTTGAGTAAACTCTCTTTAAAGTGTGCTATTCCATACACCACTACCGAAAATTTTAAAAAGAAGAGACATAAAATGTCGCTCATTCAGCTGATTATTATTTTCGTCATGTTGCATATTGTGATTGGTTTCAAAACAACATGAAGAACAACAGAACTTTGGATTTGTCACTCTTTTCTAATGAAGCATGGTTATATTTAAATTATCACATTAATTCACATAATTCTAGAGCATGAAGTACTGAAAATCCTTTTGGTTTTGAAGAAAGCCCTTGACACTCCGTTAAGCAATTAGCAGTGGTCAAAAAAAAGAAAAGTGATTTTATGCTTACAACAAAATAGGAAACATTTCCATATCTTTTGTAATCAATAATAATTAGAAACCACTCAAAGAATATTTTTATTTATTTTTTTAGTTTTTTAAATAACCACAAACACAATGACAGATCATGACAATAAAATTACGTAATAAATAGTTAGAATTACTTGGAATCGTATTATAGGTTACAGTTATTACAGGTTAACTAGTGTTTTATTCTAATTATTATTTTAATTTATTCTAATGTACACAGTAATATAATAAAACTGTTACAAATGGGGAAAGTATTAGAAGGATAAATCATAGGGGAGTAACATTTTATTCTTCCGTCATAACAATATAATAATTTGTCTGTAACATCACCACATCTTCCACATTTTAAACATGAACATTATTAACATTCCTTTCTTATCTGGGAGTGTTTGCCTTTTCTTGCTGAATACTAACAATTTAGAACTAACGTCAATTTCGAAAGTGCTCTGATGAAAGATCGTATATTTTTAACGAAATTAATAGATACGCTCAATAAAAACTTTTTGAGGTGTGGGTATATTACATAAGCAGAAGTGCAAGTAGATTACTGCAATACTCATTTCATATTCAAGACGTGGCATTTTAATGATGGATTTCGACTAAAGATCTTTCTTTGGCTGTGTCTTGGATGCAGTTTACAAGGCACCGTGTTTGTCTCACTCAACAATGCAGACTTAATATAACGGTTCTGTTTCTTCACTGCACTATCGCGCCGATCTAATCGACAAATTTATATTTAATGACTTCTTTAAATGAATTGCTAACTGCAGAAAGGGGACATGTCCCATTTTTTACCACAATAACATTCGTACATAATCGTGTTCTAGAGGTCTAAAAACATCTTTACTGCAAAAACGGGCCATGTTTAATGATTTAGCTCGGGGCTACAAGCGGATGAAATTTACGGTTACAGCAGAAAAGGGATATGTCCAGGAGATATCGACTTTCTGCAGTAAACACCGTGGTCTCAACGTCTTGCGTTATTCTTATCCAACACGACACTCAAAAACATGTCTTACATGATAATTTCTTGTAGAGAAGTAAGAATTTTACAATTAAGCTACGCCCTCTTGGCTCACGACGAATAAAAAAATCATCACAATTGAGATAGGGTGGGTGGGCGGGGCTTATATTTTGCCCTTTTTTCTTAATCTCCGCAGTCATCTTTTCACAACAAAAATTTAAAACATGTTTAAAATGGTAAATTTTTGTAGGGAAATATAGATTTTTCAGTGACGCTTCACTCCTCGGCCTGGAAACGAATGAAAAATTCATCATTAAACTAAGCCCCACCCACACCTGCCGCGAACTCAATAGTGGAGAAATTTTCATTCGTTGCCAGACTGGGGGGCGGAGCATAATTGCAAAATTTGTAGTTCCCTACAAAAATTTACCATTTTAAACATGTTTTAAATTTTTGCTGTGAGAAGATGACTACGTATATCAAGTGCAAAATTAGTATAAGCCCCGCCCACCCACCCTATCTCGATTGTGATGATTTTTATATTCGTCGTGAGCCAAGAGGGCGGAGCTTAACTGCAAAATTCTATTTTTTTTAATTATTATTCTTATCCAACACGACGCTCAAAAACATGTCTTACAAAGTAATTTCTTGTAAAGAAATAAGAATTTTGCAATTAAGCTACGCCCTTGGCTCACGACGAATAAAAAAAATCATCACAATTGAGATAGGGTGGGTGGGCGGGGCTTATATTTTGCCAATTTTTCTTAATCTCCGCAGCCATCTTTTCACAACAAAAATTTAAAACATGTTTGAAATGGTAAATTTTTGTAGGGAAATATAGATTTTTCAGTGACGCTTCACTCTTCGGCCTGGAAATGAATGAAAAATTCATCATTAAACTAGGCCCCACCCACACCTGCCGCGAACTCAATAGTGGTGAAATTTTCATTTGTTGCCAGACTGGGGGGTGGAGCAGAATTGCAAAATTCGTAGTTCCTACAAAAATTTACCGTTTTAAACATGTTTTAAATTTTTGTTGTGAGAAGATGGCTATGTGTATTAAGTGCAAAATTAGTATAATAACTAGCCATCAGCCAGAAGAAAATGACGGATATAACAAACACTTTACGATTTATCCCAGACGCTTATAACGCATTTTGGCAGGAGATTGCTACTTGGCCATCTGTAGAACAGGAGCGCGATAATGATTAAGTTTTTTAGTCAGATATACATATAACATGTTTGTGTAAAATTATAACTGAAATAAAGCTGTTTTTTGTGTTTTTTTTACCTTTTTTTTCATTTTACTGCAAAAAGGGGATATGTCCAAGTGTCAAATTTGACAGCCAAATTGACCCAAAAAAGAAAAGATGCATTTAACCAACACTCGTTGATAACTGAGAACATAGAGAACCGACAATTGAAAACGGGGATCGGAAACAAGTAGTTGTAAAAATCTGAGACGTTTTATTCATTTCCTCAACATTTTGAAAAATGTGCAGTTAGCAATTCAAATCTGAAAAGTTCAACGCGGAACTGACGAAGAGTACTCAACAACGAACTCATCGGTTAGAACTGTTACAAGTTATAACAATTAAAGTTAGCTGTTAAATATCATTGCAAATCAGGTTACAATGTTACTTCGTGTGTACAACTGTACACCAATATACGATGGGACTGCAGATGTGTTAATAATTAAGTAAAGATTGCGTTTCATTTTTGTCTCTCATGAAAAAACTTTTTTATATATTGAAGTAATTTTTGTATGTAGGTACGTTAAAAATTCTGCAATTAAATAATAAGCTTGTACTCAAGCTCTCTTTGAAAACATCAAAGAAATTTGTATTTTCTCTCAGTATCTTTGTCTAAGAAAGAAACATAGATTTTTTGGAAGACACTATAACATCCAGCTCCATATGTGACTGCACGCCGACATTTCTTGAAAAAAGCGGATGCCTATGATACCATCTTCATATACCTGGTGCTTTTTATTTACATTTGATTTTACCAGAATTAAATTTTACGAAACTGCAAATCTTAATATTATAATTAACACATTAAAATATTTAAGGGAGTTATTTTATGTTTCTGTGAGGATTTTTTCAACTATCTATTTTTTTTTATTTCTTATCAGCCACTTTTTTGGTTCTTAATCCGAGTCGTTCTGTGCCATTCATTGAAAGAAGTAGGTTAAGAAATATTACCAGCGGCGTGTATAACAATTTATATTTAATTTCAAATATTTTATTCTAGACATTGCTCCCACTTAGGAACCTGAAATTTACGCAGTGCAATAATTTTATTGTGAGCTATTCCCTTTTTTTTATTGTACATATTTCGAAATCAGGCTGTATAAGTGTTATTGTAATGGATAATGCGACTTACGTAGAAACCATATGTACGTTCAAAACAAAACACGGACTGAACGGGATATTAGACTGTTTAATTAAAATATTCTTATTTCGTTATGTCACAGACGTTTCATTTGTATCTGTACAACTCTAGATTTAGCAGTTTAAAGTAACTTTGGCGTTTAAATGGTTGTCTACACTACTACTTCTTCTATAGACGACCAACTACACACTCTCACTTTCACGACCTTCCCACCCATTGATGTCAAGTTCATGGTCACCTACATAACATTTGTTTTCTTTTCGTTCCAACCAACATAATAAGCTGCCATTTCCCAACCATCTTAACCTTCAGACTTCATCACATAACGCAATCCCAAATCAGTCCATATTTGGTATTCAGGCATGTACTCAAACAGTACCTACCTATTAATGCATTTTCCCAACTCCGAAGAACTGAAAGTACGTATGTATGCAGAACCAGAACGAAAATATTGCACAGACTCAGTTATGAAACGAATGCTTCGGAACTAAGATATTAGAAAGTAAAACGGACAAGGACGTCTCCTACTCTGAAAAATCCACATATAATTGCGTACACTATGGCTA